GGGGGGGGGGAACAAGACATCAGTCAGTCAGTGCTGGGAGGCTCTTTGCCCCCACCCCCCAAAGATCTCTCCAGCCTAGGAGTTGCATTCCATTCTCATCAGCCCAAAGCTCTTTGCCCTGGTGAGGACTGACTCGTGGCGAGCCTGTGGGCGGAGAACGGCTTCCCAGGGTTTTCTTGGCTGTAATCTTCGTGGCAGCTGACTGCCAGGCCTTGCCTCCACTGTGCCTCTGGTGGGTCTGAACCGCTGGCCATGACGTTAGTGGTCGAGGGCAAACTGTGCGCTCCCTCCCAGGAACCTCCAGGGAAGTAAGAACGATGTGTCTTCAGTCCATTCTACTAGACCAGCGGTTCTCAACCTGTGGGTCGCGACCCCTTTGGAGGTCGAATGACCCTTTCACAGTAGTGAAATGACAGTGATGAAGTAGCAACAAAAATAATGTTATGGTTGGGGGTCCCCACCACATGAACTGTATGAAAGGATCATGGCATGAGGAAGGTTGAGAACAGCTGGTAAAACTATTACTTAGTAAGTCATTGTTGTATTTAAGAAGCACAGTGGTTACGAATTGGGCGTTTGAAACCACCAGCCGTTCTGCGGGAGAAAGAGGGGCTTTCTACTCCCCTCTGTCCTTTATAAACAGTCTCAGTACAGTGCCTCGGGTGGTGACACTGTCCGACAGGGTCACTAGGAGTTTGCCTCGCCTCAATGAAAGGGAGTTTGTGTTTCTTTTGAAGCCTGATCCCGCCCACCACATTCAAATCCTAATGTTCCCTGGTGGGGCCGGAGACAAGTTATCTCGACCTCTGTGCCTCAGTTTCCACACCTGCAAAACGGGCTTCAGAGAGTTCTTATACATAAGACCCGGAAAGATACCTCTTATTATTACGGCTGTTATTTATCAACCAAATAATATAACATAATCTATGTCACGCTCATTAGATCGGCGAGCTCTGACGGTGTGGTGAGTTATTCGCTGGACTGCTGACCACAAGGCTAGCAGTTCAAACCCATCAGCCGCTCCACAGGAGACATCCACTTCCGGAAAGATTTACAGCCTTGGAAGCAGCTGACTTCGGCCCACTGGGTGGCGCCGAGGTAGGATGGACACAATGGCAGCGGCTGCTCAGGATCATTATTAAAGTGCCCTGGTGATGCAGCGGTTGAAACCCTCTGCTATGCCCCAAGAGGCTGGTTCCAACCCACCAGCTGCTGGGCAGGCGCTCTGCCTCTCAAAAGATGTACAGCCTTAGAAACCCGAGGGGGCTGTTCGACTTGGCCCCCTAGAGGTT